TAGCTAAATTGCTTAACCTTTCTGTTTCAAATTCCTCATTTTTAAGTGTAGAGGTTGGGCTAGATCAGTGGGTTTCAAACTATATTTATCAGGACCTCAGCCTCTGAGAATCTACTACTATGCCATGAACCACTACTAAGCATGCAATAAGGAGTGGAGGGCACAAGCAGATGGATTCCTAGACCATCCTCTGCAGTTATTAATAGATGAGCTTTTTATTTACTTAATATATATATATATATATATATATCAGATGTTTCATAATATTTTAACCTGCCTTTCAAAACATCTGTTGCATACTGCTATACACATGAACACAAACATACACACAATAACACAACAGGGCAAAGTGACTGTTGAAGGTTCATTAATGATTTCATAAACTCTCTAATTTAAACGTTCTATGTTTATAACTTCATAAACAATTGCACATGAATGAGTACAAACTGAATTACAACAGGTTAGGAAACCGTAAGAATCTCCCGTCAAACTATGGCATGCTGGCTTTAGCCAACTAATATAGGGGAACATTTTAAATTGCACAAGCATTAATAATATTGTTACATGTTTTATGGTTATTTAAATCATTGTTATGATTTTAGCCTTTAGATCACTATGTTTAAAAGAAGTTACAGATGTTTTCTAAATCATTCTACAAAAATAACAAAAAATTCTATTCACTGTCTCTGAGAAAATGATACTGATTATAAATGATTTGGCAAAAAAAAAATAGAAACGAGTACTATTTCTAACAGCATTACTCATAGACCCACTCCCGAGAAAAATTAAGAAAATATATTAAAAAAACACATATTAAATATATCTGGAAATTTCGCTAAGGGAATACAGTAAATGTTTCTTTTATTTATTCAAGAAAGTTTATTAAAACAGTAAAAACAGTATGTTTGTGGTATTTGAACCATTATGTGCTCTCCACCTCCTGCTCCAAGATTAGAAAGGTGGAACCTCTATCCTATGTGGGACCAAGTGAAAGCAAATGGCCTTCTGTGCCCCCAGCTCCCAATTGGAGGACTACCTTCTCAGAAATGGAAGTATATCAGTATATCTCATTGTGTCCTGCTGTTACTTGCTGCTGAGGCTAAATTACGGGTAACTGAAGTGAAATTTTCTTCTTCTGTCCAACCCTCACTCATAGAATGGGTACTGAGAATCCCGAGGCCCCAACCTTTGTTGCCCTAGCTTGAAAGATGGCCTCAGGAAAGATAAGCCAAGAAGATCTGCCCCCAGTTAAATTAGTGTACGGTTCTAAAGTGAGAATATCATTAGAGAGAAGTACCCATTTTCTCTATACCCAGTTCCAAAGACTGGCTCACAGATTTTGCCTAAGGAAGAGAAAAAGGCCATAAATCAGACAGTTCCACATATCTCCCCCCTCCCCTGCAAAAAAAAAAAATGACCTTACTAGCAACTTAGTGTTGAGAAGTTTAAGCCAAAGAATGCTTCATAAGACAGGAATGATTGTGGTTAAAGACAATTACGAGATAGAGGCTAAATTCTAGGCCATTTAGTTTGTCAGAGAGAAGCAGGAAAAGAGACATTAGGAAGAAGCCCTCCTGGGGACAGAACTAGTAACAAACACTGACTTGGGGAACTGTCCCCTCAAAGGGCCAATTTTAATTAAATCAGTTTATGGACATTGAGTCATTGTAGAAAACAATAGAGCAAAAAACTTGAATTTAGTGGAGCTTAACAGTTGTGCATTGTCAGGAAAAGAGACCATGGAAAATAGCTGAGAAAAAAACACTTTTATCCCAGAGTAACTGTGGTTATATAAGGCTATATATAAGGCTATATAAGGTTATATAGCCTGCTGTGGAGAAATATCAGAGGCATCACCCTATAGAGGGAAATGGACTTTACTAGAATAATCCATCCAGACACTAAACAAAGAAAATAATAGCAATCACAAGCCCTGGAGTGGTGAGTTAGTACTGAGAGTTGCTGCAATATAGTATCAAAAATATCAGTTACAACAAAAGAAAATATGTAAAAATACCCAAGAAATTATAAACCACACACAAGAAAAATCAGGCAATGAAAAAATCCTGAGAAAGCGACCAGATTTTGTATTTGATATAAAAAGACTTCAAATTATCCATTATAAATACATACAAAGATCTAAGGAAATCCATGACTAAAGAAGTAAAGTATGGTGACAATGCTACATAAAATAGCAAATATCAATAATCATAAAACAAAACAAAATGAAAAATACAACAACTAAAATGAATAATTCACTAGAGGGGCAAAATGATAGATTTGAACTGGCATAAGAGTTAGAGAATGTAAAGATAGGTCACATTTATACAATCTCAAAGATGGAGAGAAAGAGAAAATGAAGAAAATAAAGAAATCCTTAGAAAAAATTGGCATATCATTAAGCATACTGACATATATGTAATGGGAGTACCAGAAAGAGAGGAGAGATAAAAAAAAGGACCAGAAAAAATATTCTAAGAAATAATGCCTGAAAACTTCTCAAATTTATTGAAAAACTCTAACTTGTACACACAGGAAGTATAACAAACTCCAAATAGGGTAAATCCACAAACACATTAAACTAAAAATTGTTGAAAGACAAAGAAAAGGAGAATATCTTTAAAACATCAAGAGAAAAATGATATCACTTATCACAAACTTCTCCAGTAAGATTGACAGCTGAATTCTCATCACAGACAACAGTGATCATAAGGCAGTGGGATAATGTATTCACAATGCCAAAGGAAAAAAAAAATCTGCCAACCAAGAATCCAATATCCAGCAATTATATCTTGCAAAAATGAAAGTAAAGTAGTTTCTAAGATAAAATATAAGAATTCTAGGCTTACATATATATCCTTGAAAAGATACTAAAGAAAGGACTTTAGTTCTTGAAAGCAAGAAACCCCAGATATTAATTTGATTTTTTTAAAAAGTATTGGTAAGTACATGTAATTATAAAAGATAGTATAAATTAGTGAAATCACCAAAAGTGGAGTTGTAGGGAACTCTAAAATTCCATCTCTAAGAGATTAATTTTGCAAAAACTATCAGAATTAACTTTCTCAAAATTTCAGAATCTAATAAAAAACTTACAACAATCAGGGGAATGCTTAATTAAAAAGCTCTTCAATGTTGGGAAGAGGACAGTGGCTTTTTAATTTATCCTTCTAGTATCCCCCCACTTCCAAGTTCATCAACAGCCATAGAGATGGTGGCTAATAACTCCTAGTATCTTGCTAGTACCAAAGGGATAATACAGACCTTGTTATCAATGAATAATGGTGTATAGTGTATATTTTGATATCACAATGGTTCCCTTAGGGGTAAGATCAGGAGGTTACCTTTGATTTTCTTGCCATAGAACTTTCTTGAACCTGGAACAGCTTTCAAATGGTCTTTGTTGAAAGCATTTAGAATCAAAAAGTTTCACATAAAGTCTGTGCTATGTATCCTTAGTTATATGGTTTCTCAAAGTAAAATGCTTTAAAATTTGAATTATCCTGTATAGTCAACTGTATTAACTTTTAGTTTTATTTGTAAATACATTAAAAAAAATGTCTATCAAGAGCAATTAACACATTGTATCATAAGAGTTATTTAACTGTGGGTCCCTCCAAAGGGAAGAATATGGCAATTGTCATCATTTTACTCAAAGAGAATTAATGCTCAGAAGTATCAATGAATAAATATCTCAATAAATAAATAGCTTGCATTGATAACACTAGCTGTGTTTTAAAATAGACACAGTTATACCCAGCTATCTCAAAAGGGATTAAAAAATTATCAAAATAAGTTATTCATTTAAAATGTTAATAGTACATTGAAAAGTTGGACTCAGTAAAGATAAAAAAGAAAAGATAATAACTTACAATGAAGAGTCTCAAACTGATTGCTATTAAGTCATATATGCCATCATAGTTGTCTGGCTGTCTCACAGGATTTTATTTTTATTTTTATATTATGGAATGTAAATGTTTAGACAAGACATCTACTCTCCAGTTGACCATAGCATCCATCATCCCTGTTGCCTTAAACCAGATCTAACTCTTAAATCCTTGTTACCTGCAGTGACCACTTAGCATTTTAGTCTGGGATCTCAGCTCTCCTAAAAAGGTAAAGTGAACAGATTACCCTGTAATTTATAATTTGTAACCACCTTTTTTGGGATAGAAATTTATGAAAGTTAACACAAATCGATGAGACTAACAAATGAAAATTTAACCAAACCAAATTGAGCAAAAGCGTAACTTAGAATCCATGATGCTAGAGTTATGGGATATCCTAGGAATAGCCCTAGTGAAGAAATTACATTCCTACTATTATCAACAGCTTGAAAGAAACTGAAGTAAAAAAGAAAGTTAATTGTGAATAGTTAAAAACATGCAGTCACATTGTTACATCTTACCACTTGTAGTTAATGTTAGTGTATCAATATTTATATTAAATCTGGATTACACTTTCTTGATCACAGCAACAGAATAAAGGGGCACGAGGAGTACCAAACTTAAGTACACTCCTCAACTAATAACAGCCCTGGTCCAGATCAATGATAAATTACTCATAAATGAGACATTGTTCTCCTCTGTTATGCTCTTGCCATCAACATCCTTCCTCTCTTTTAGAGCCTGTGTTAGACTCAACTCCAGCACAAATTCTGTGACCAAGTTCACTCTCAAAGCAAGAGTTCACCTTCCTCAAAGTGCATTTATTGTCCTTATCTGATTACTATTCTTTAAGGAAAGACAAGTCTGCAAAATTCAGTATCAGTAATTTATCATTCAAATTCAGTACAAAATTTAGTGTGATGTAGTGCGTTGATATTTATAATCCAAAATATCATTCAATAATTGGTATTCATGTAGCTGAAACTCTCACTAATTATATTATGAACACCTTGTGAGTGAAAGAGTAATAATCCCTTCTTGCTTCTAACTATGAACTAACTTTACAGTTCCTGGCACACTTCTATATATTTCGATCCCCACATTACTGATTACCTGGTTTTTCTGCAGGTTTAATTCCTTGAAATTGTGTCAATTTATCTTCAGCTTCTGGAATCTGAGGGATGTAGACTGTCTTGGGGACATAAAAATGTTCTGGAAGGCTCACTTGTGTTGTGTATAAAATAGACTTAGCCTTCTTCAACTCTGAGGTATGAAAGAGCGTACCAGACTGCAAACAAACAGTAAAATTGGAATGATAATTCTCTTAATTTTTAACTCCAAAACATGAAAGACAGCATTATATATTTAGACTACACATTTGGGAAAAAAAATCGACCAAGGGACTGAATTTATTCATTTTGTTATTTTTACTTAATTTTTATTTAATTGGTGGAAGACAGCACAAACATATTTCACAGAACCAGTGGAGTCCTCCTTTAATGAGAGATGGCCAATGTCTCCTGCTCTAATGCTTGCAGTGTTGAGAAATTAATTGCCTCTAGGAGGAAAACATTCCACTAGTGACCAGCATCAAGAAAGCACTTCCCTCCTTGAGTTGAAACCTGCACTCCTTCATATCTACTCATCAGATATATCAAACATACATACAGAGTGAGTCCCTTTCTTTTACTAATGAGAATTTTGTGGATTTATAAAAACAACTAGGCCCCGGCCCTCCATGGATATCCAAAAACTCTTCTTATCAAGGTTTGATACTTTTACCTTTTTAAACCATTGCTCACATAATATGAGTTACAACAATTCACATCCATGCATATGGTCCTTTAGATACAATCTAGCTCAACACTGTCCTCCCTAAAATAAAACACTGAAGATAAACCCAGATCTCTAAGTGTAAGTGAAGCAGGTTAAAAGTGGTATTTTTTAGGCACATTTTCAATTCAATTAAACAATGATAGGGCTCAAATCATGCAGAAGATGTCAAGGGATAGACAAATACACATAAGAAAAATGCTCTAGATTTCTAGGAATTCACAATCTTACAGGAGAAAAAGATAAACATAAAAGTAAATCTAATACAAAATATAATTCATTAAATGCAATAATAAACACAAAAGGTACACTGCATTCCAAAGAGAAAGCTAAAGGAAGAGTGAGTAAACCAGAAACTACATATGTATATACAAAATGGAAAAAAATACAATCATACAAATGAACAAAATCCACCTCCCTCAAACATTTTTTATTTTAATAAAATGTCTTGTCAAAAGATAGTAATGAAAAGACTAATTTAAAAAGGAAAAGGGGCAAGAGAGAGCTAGAGAGGAGACACACACACACACATACACACACAGAGACAGAGAGAGAAAATACACTATGATAAAGTTTGAAATGGCCACTCATTGAAAATTTATACTGTAATAGTGTCCTGAAAGTTGAACATAAACCTTCCCAAATGCATTGTTCTGTAGCAGCAATTAAGCAGTTTGGTTAGAGTGGAAGAAACTATCAGCTTCTTAGAAGCACAGTGTAGGTAAGGTAGTCAAGAAGGCATCAAAGCCTCAGGCTTTAACATTTTTGAGCCAATCAGAACTTAAAAATTCAGGTCATCTTTAAAATGCCATCATTAAATTGTTAGAAATTTGTAGTTAGGCAGGATTGATTCTAGTGTTCTGACAAAAAAAGAAATCATTCCTACAACGCCAAGTATTTTGTTAAAATATATATAAATGAAAGTAAACCTTAACCAAGGATAAAAAACATATATAAAAATGTACGTAAGTTGGTGAAGCAGAACGTCACTGATAGCATTTAACAAAAACCTAAAGAAATTGAGGGAGGCAGCCCTTTCTAGGAAAAGTAACAGAGAATGTTCAAATGCCACCAGCAAGGGGGCTTGTACTGAGGGGTGGCCTGAGTGAAAGGACTCCTGTGGAGAAGCAGGGATCAGGGAAAAGTTGAGACTGACCAAGAGGGTCATGCAGACCATCCAAAGGATGCGATGTGGGCTTCCATCTAAGCAAGGCTTGTATTTACGAGAATCACTTTGGTTGTTCTGTGAGAACAACTTGTACCTTATCTCAATCATAAAAATAGACTGTACCTTATTTTAAGCTGTAATAAAAGAGTCTATGGTAATATTAACACTAGTAGTAGTCATAATAATGATAATAATAACCACAATATCATGCATAAAGAGAGCACTTATGATCTACCAGGTAATATGCTAAGGATTTTATAAAATCATCTCAATTTTCACAAATTACCAGTATGGCCATATTAAAAATATGAAAATTGAGGCTTGAGGAAGAAGTGACCAGCCCACAATCATGTGGCTGGACAGTTCAGAATTGGGATTCTCAGTACTAAGACACCAGAGATGATCCTCCCTGGGTACACAGCAGAATATCCTAGGCAACGTTTAGAACATATTTCCACCTACCTCCTTCCACAGATTCATACTTAATAGTTGTGGAGTGGGCCTGGGTATTGGCACTATTTTAAGTTCCCCAGGATACTATAATGTGCAACCAGAATTGACAAACTACCATGAATTAATGACTACACTGTAATGCCTTAAATTACATAGTAGAATGCTTTGTTTCAGATTTATTATTCAATGAGTTTTAAAAAAAGAAAGAATCAACTGAGCTGTTTTTCTGGAGAAAAAGAGCATTCATCGTTTCTCTATGTAAAATGTTACGATTAAGTAATAACAGTTCTATATATTTTTAAAGAGAGAGTAATTTTAGTGTATCATCTGTTCTCCATTCTCACCTCGATCTTGCTCAGCCCCAGGAGTGCGATGGCCACACGGACACTACTGCTCTCCAGAGTGCCTGTGATCAGCCTTCGTTCATACTCAATATTTGACATCTGTTGCTGCGCTGCAAAAATGAAAGCCTTTTCCTTGGCTTCATTCATCAGTGGCAATTTAAGTTCCACATCCAGGATTTCACGGAGTCCACATTTCAAATATAGAACTGGATCTTCCTTATTAAACCCTAGGGGAAATAAAAAATATTCATGAATGCAATGAACATTTATGCCCTTGACATTGTTATCTAGGATGGGGTTGGGAGGTTTGGAATATAAAACTGCAGTTATGGCCTTCATTAAGCAGAGTAAAAATAAACAGGTAGCACATTTCTGGTACTTCTAATTCAGTGATTCAAGAGTAAGCTTTCAGGAATTAAAGATATTTAACTGGTATTCTCTAAGAGAATACTCTCTGAGAAGAGCTCTAGTCAAATGGTTCTTTTATAGGAACATCATCAACATACTCAAAATTTCAGTGACCACTGTGCTTCCATCAGTGATAAGAAGGTAGAAGAAACAGTAATAAATGCAAAAAAAAAAAAAAAAAAAACAAGAAAAGAAAAAAACCCTGTTAAGGACTAGCAAGAATTGCCATGTATTTTCACTAACAACTTCACATGTTAATGACTAATAATTTAAAGGCCAATAATCAAGAACTAGAGGCCAAGGCAAAATTCCAAGTTATATAACAATATGTAGATTTTTGAGAGTGCAGTAATTTCCACATTCTTTGAGAAATGAAAATTTTTCATAAGTAAAATATTTTGTATGCTAAATTTCAATATTCATCTGAAGATTGAAAAGAAAGTTTTAAAAAAAAATCACCATTTTTTAAAATTAGCAAACTGGGGCTGGGCGCAGTTGCCTGTAATCCTAGCACTCTGGGAGGCTGAGGCGGGTGGATTATTTGAGGTCAGGAGTTCGAAACCAGCCTGAGCAAGAGCAAGACCCCGTCTCTACTAAAAATAGAAAGAAATTAGTCAAACAAATAAAAATATATATAGAAAAAATTAGCCGGGCATGGTGGTTCATGCATGTAGTCCCAGCTACTTGGGAGGCTGAGGCAGCAGGATTGCTTGAGCCCAGGAATTTGAGGTTGCTCTGAGCTAGGCTGATGCCACTGTACTCTCCTCACTCTACAGAGTCTCACTCTGTCTCAAAAAATTAAAGAAAAAACAAAAAACAAAAAAAAACTTAGCAAAATGGTGCTAGAAATAGATTTCATGGATGCTGACATAATAAAGTCAAAATGGGACATTTCAAAATCTAATTACTTGCTGAAAAAACTTGCCATGAGGAAGCTTAGGTGACTATTGAGGAATACCCCCATCCTTCAACATTATACATGAAATAAAACACATGTAATACTCTACCTTCTTCTTGAGTATTGCTGTAGGAAACTGGACTAGAAGAAGGATCCATTGGAAGGAAACGGGAAGGCAAGGGAATCATACCATTTCCTTCCAAAACATATACTAACTCTCCAATCTAAAACACAAGCACACAATAATATTTTAAAATCTCATAAAAATATGATAAATCTTTCTGCTACTAGGAAAATCTGCACATTATAAAAATATCATTCATTGTGCTTTTCTAAGCAATATAGGTAGGCTCCAAATGGGTGGCAAAGGTAATGTTCAATTATAGCATGCAACCAGAACACAAGGATTGGTCAAGAATTTCCCAGGATTGGCATAGACAGTAGTTCATCTTTATATTAATAGCTACAAATGTCCTTAGGAAACTACTATCTTTAAACTAACAAACAAGCAAAAACAAAGTTTTCCTTCATTCTGTAACTTATTGTTGGAGGGCAGTGACATCATTCTTGCAGGGCATCTGAGTCTCCAAGAGTAATATTTTATTTTGTTTTTTTAAAATTTTATTTCAGAATATTATGAGGGTACAAACATTTTGGTTACATTTTATGTCTTTGCCTCACCCAAGCAACGTTTTGAGGCATGCCCTTCCTCTCTACAATGCTCACCTGGTCCATTAGTTGTGAATTTACCCTCCCCACCCCTAATCCCTGGAGAATATTAGTACCATGTGAGCACCACAGTGTTCATCAGTTAGTGCCAATTTGATGGTGAGTACAAGTGGAGAAATTAGTCAAACAAATAAAAATATATATAGAAAAAATTAGCCAAGCATGGTGGTGCATGCATGTAGTCCCAGCTACTTGGGAGGCTGAGGCAGTAGGACTGCTTGAGCCCAGGAGTTTGAGGTTTCTCTGAGCTAGGCTGATGCCTATTCTCCCAATCTTGTGATACCTCACTTCAGATAATGGGCTTAAGAACAATCCAGGAAAATATAAGAGGTGCTAGATCACTGTCGTTTCTTATAATTGAGTAATATACCATGGTATACATATACCACATTTTAATAATCCACTCATGAATTGACAGGCACTTGGGTTGTTTCCACATCCTTGCAGTAGTGAATTGTCCTGCCATAAACATTTGGGTACAGATGTCTTTATTATAGAATGTCTTTTGCACATTCAGGTACAGATGTCTTTATTATAGAATGTCTTTTGCTCTTTTGGGTAGATGCCTAATAGTGCTATTGCTGGATCAAACGGTAGTTCTATTTTTAGCTCTTTCAGGTATCTCCAAATTGTTTTCCACAAAGGTTGCACTAATTTGCAGTCCTACCAGCAGTATAAGAGTGTTCCTGTCTCTCCACATCCTCGCCAGCATTTGTTATTTTGGGATTTTTTGATAGAGGCCAATCTCACTGGGGTTAGGTGGTATCTCATTGTGGTTTTGATTTGCATTTCTCTAATGATTAGAGATGTTGAGCATTTTTTTTATATGTTTGCTGGCCATTATTCTGTCTTCTTCAATAGTCTATATTTTAAAGTGTAGTCTTTCAAAATGAGCATGTAAGGGTTTAAAAATCTTTTAGAACAAATAATTAGGCAGGAAGTACAAAGGGCTTGAGAAAAAAAAGTAAACTTTTTATCTGAGGAACGCAGGCTCCCTTTAATTATCAGGCCCAGAGAGGCATTGAAATGTGACAGCATGTGATAGCATGTGACAGTAGTTCCATCTTACTCTCCTCTTGAGCTAAATAATTGAAGACACTTGCTCTGTGGGTTCTAGACTGACTGATGCCAAGTAACCATAAACTGCCATATGCTGGACACCATAACTCATACACAATGGTTCAACAATGCATAGCCAGTCACTAACCAACATTCTTTTTCTGGAAACCAGTGAAAATTCCTGTCAGACAACTTGGTATTGTGAAGCCTCAGGCTAAGTGCTTTCTTTTGGCTTATGTATATTGCTTGTTTTTAGGAAGTTGGGTTGAGCGGGCTGATAGCAGTAAATTTTGGGATGAAACAAAAAGGCAAGTGCGTGGGCACAAGGGGCCAACCTATCAATGTAAAGGTCAAGTGCGTGGGCACAAGGGGCCAGCCAATCAATGTAAAGGTCAAGCGTGTGGACAGGTTTTGCACCTAGGATATAAAGGGCTCTGTCCCACAGTGCATGGGGTCTTTGTCCCAATAGAGGCCGTCGTATTGGTGCTCTGGGACTTGGACCCTAGCTCCAGTTAGTCAATAAAACTCCTTTTGATGATTTCAGCCTCAGTGACCCTGTCTCTTTGTTCTGTGGTACTGTGGTTTCCCGCTCTAACAGTATCAGCCCCCCCCCCCTTTGTCCCCTTGTGCCTTTAAAAACCAGCTTGAAACAAAGGCTAAATGGAACATTCCCCAAGGCAACCTGGAAGTGTGTTTGGGCACCTATCCTCACCCTTGGCCCAAGTAAACTGTATTAGTTTTGCCTATAGTTTCTTTCTTTGGTTAACAGGCTAAAAACAGAGAATACAAAAATAAAAGTGGGGACAATGCAAGGGCAGCAACACAATATAGTGAAAGATCAATAGAGGTAAATATGCCTGGTTTTAATTGGCACTGCCATTTATTTGCTACTAAGCTTCAGGCAAATTTACTAAATCTTTGAATTCCAGTTTCCCCTTCTGTAAAATGTGATGACCAGTATCATTATTTTAAGGATCTACAGTTTAAATGAAAAGGAATAGGAGAGAAGGAGCCTCAAGACATATCATGCGATCACAATGGATGAACATTATTTAGATCCTGATTCAAATAAAGAAATTTAAAATGAAATGACACAAAATAAATGTGTAAAGCAGGGAAATTTGAACACTTCCTGGATGTTAAATGATATAAAGAAAAATTTTCCAATATTCTTAGTAGTAATGGTATTGTTGGACATGTCAAAAAAGGGAGTCTTTGTTGCAGAGATACTTACTAAATTGTTTATGAAGAAAGTGATGATTAGGATTATAGCCATGAAATATGTTTGGCTATGCAATGTTATAACTGGGTGAAGGGTACAGGAAAGATTTATTGGAGTTTATCTATGATTATATGGATCATTTATTATAGTTTTATCTATGATTATATGGATAGGAAACCAAAATATACCACCCCCCAAGAATTATTCTAAGCTGAAGGCAATTGGGAAGAAGCAGGTAAGGATAAAGCTCTCTGCCTTCCTTTCTTTGACTAAAGGGTTATAAATTACAAAGTTATCCTCCTTCCTTCTCTATTAGGAAGGACAAAGGCTGATCATTGAGGACAACTTTAGACACTATCAGCCTGGAGAAGATACCAGATTACTCTACATAACAAACTCCCATTTATTTGCCTTCCTGCAATTTGACTCCCCTAGAGACTCAAAGTCCTGTTCTTCCTCTTGTCAATTCTCTAAAAGTGTACTGTTCTTAGTTGAAGATGCTATGTAAGTCTGAGTTCTAAGTCACCTCTTTGACATTTACACATTTCCCGCATGCGTATCTCCCATGTACATATGAAACATACATGTTAATAAGCTGTTTTCATTTTATTACAGGGGTTTATCCCAGTTAATGAACTATAAAGGTTAGAGGGAAAATTATTTTTCTTCTCTCCATATGTGTTTTATATTTTCCATAATAAAATCTTTTAAAAAAATCCCTATATCTTAAGAAGGGGAATGATAGAAAGGATACAGTAAGGACTGCATGAGGTAACACATATTAGGAAGGTAGTCCTTTGCCTGGCACTTACCAGGCATTTAAGAGATCCACTTAAAGGGAGTGTATCCATCCTTTGAAAGCAAGGCTTCCCAAACTTTTGTGTGCATATCAATCATCTAATGCTATTGTC